AGAACTTCGTACCGCCAACATCACGGGTGATTCATTTTTACCTGCAAAGGAAAAAGAAGGGGATTCTCAGGGAGATTTCTCTTCCCTGGATGTAAATTGTTATTCATCGTATTTGTGGTTGGGCCTAGCTTTGTGGGGGTATCTATTTTTTTCATTAATCTTTTTGGTAGCTGGTTAGCTGTGCCTTCTGTGGTATCGGACAGGCATATCAGTCCTCGGCCCCATAAGGGAACTGGGTCTGGGCCATTCCCTTTAAGGGTCCTTCCCCATATCTGTGGCAAAGTTTTGTTGGTCTTGGTGGTGCCAGAGGCAGTCAGCAGCAGATTTGCCATGAGCTTTCAGCTTTAGAGAGATAAAAGTGAACAAGGCATGATGGAGAGTATTTCAGGGGGACTCCTTCTGAGGGGGTACCGTTCCCCCTCTTTTGTTTTTAAAGCCAATTTTTCAGAGTTCTTGTAAAATCAGGGTAGAAGCACCAACAGTCACTCCTTCCACACTCAGAGAGTCATGAAGACCCTATTTAAGGATATATAAATCTATATTAATAATCTTTTGTCAAAGGACTGTTATAGCATCACTGACAACTAATCAGACTATATAATATATTGATTAGTAATAGCTTCTTCTACTTTTTGTGAGATTATCTCTCTTTTGTCAATTAATTGTTGAGGAAAATTAAGGTTTACCTCTCTCTTGAGAATATTGAACAGAGACTTAAATTATTTTATAGAGAGCTTAAAATAGGATCTTAGCCAATTAGCAACTCCTAGAAACTTTTGAAATTAATTTAAAATAAGTAAACTCTCTCCCTCTCTTTGTTTTTTAAGACCCTTTATCTGTGTGGTTTTTTTATTCAATATTATACGAATTTACCTTTCAATGTTATCTCCTCTCCCATTCTCCCCCAAAACCTTTATCCCATACCCCCTCCTCCTAATATTTGTGAGGGTGTGCTCCAAACATTCTCCCAGTCCCATCTCCCTGCTCTCGAATTCCCACACAGTAGGGGATCCAAACTTTCAGGGACCATGGCCCTCCACTTTCACTGAAGTCTAACAAGGTCACCCTCAATTCCCTATACAGGTGCATGAGTCTCTCCCTTTGTGCTCTCTGGCTGGTGGTTTAGACTTTGGGAGCTCTGGTTGAAACTTTTGATACTCCTTCTAGAAAGGACCAAAGCATCCACACTTTGGTCTTCCTTCTTCTATGTGAGTTTTATGTGGTCTATACGTAGTTTCTTAGAAATTGTGAGCTTTGGGGCTAATATCCACTTATCAGTGAGTGCATACCATGTATGTTCTTTTGAGATTGGGTCACTTCACTCAAGATGATATTTTCCAGCTCCATCCATTTGCCTAGGAATTTTGTGAACTGATTGTTTTTAATAGCTGAGTAGTACTCCATTGTATAAATGTACCACATTTTCTGCATCCATTCTTCTGTTGAAGGGCATCTGGGTTCTTTCCAACTTCTGGCTTTAATGCTCAATTTTAATGTCCTATTTAAAACAAACTTTCCTTTAATGTTTCGTGACATTTTAATAGGAAATGGAAAGTAGACATGTATGATAAAAAAATACACTATGAATATTAAGTTGTGAATTGCCCTGAGATAGTTTCAGTTATCTTTGCTTTATTTTTCTTCCCAGCTCTAGCATGTATCTATGTGCTTACAGGTTCCTATCACACTAATATCTCAGTGCTATTTTTCAAACAACATTGCATGGATTTATTAGGGGTCTGGCTTTGAGGTAATGAAGATAAGTAGATTGCTGAGATTTCTGAACATCCAGTCTACCCTAACCAGTGAGTTTCAGGCTAGTAGAAAACTTGTCTGCCAGGGGACAGTCCTGGCAGGGGTCAGGTACTGAGGTGGGACACAGAATTGGATGAAAGCCAAAGACTAATGATCTCTGGCCTTATAACTCTCTCTCTCTCTCTCTCTCTCTCTCTCTCTCTCTCTCTCTCTCTTTCTCTCTCTCTCTCTCACTGATCAGGAAGCCAGAAGACATCTTCTGGCAATATAACTCTTACTGTTCTGGAGCCAAGAGCTGATGACTTTTGGCAATTTCACAGAGAAAGAAAAAAAAGTCAGACACGCACACATGCACACACACACACACACACACACACACACACACACTGGTCAGGCCTGACCACCTGTCTCATCAACTTTACAAGTGCAGATGCATACTTATATGCACACACATATATCTACATATGTATGTAAATACATACATATAGACAGACAGACATATACATATATATAGTTTGTGGATTGAGCTGAGCCCCAAATGCCACAGATATACATTGTGTGGGTGGGGCAGAGCCCTAAAAGCCACACTTTATTTTTTCTCTCTGGCATTCTTATACCTTCTTAGAAAAATGTTCTTTGCAAAATTACCTTATAGATAAAGTGTTACACAAAAGCAGAGATCAAAGCAGTGTTTCATTCTATAAGCTCTGAGTTCAAAACAATTTTGCATGGCCTTGCTTTATCATAGTGCATACTTGTGGCTTCATCCTTGGATCTGACCTATAATGAATATTTTTCCTTGATCACAAACTTGCTTCAACCCTGCTTTCTTATCCTGGTGCAATTAGCCCATGACACATGAAGGTTTGCAGACCTCTATTCAAAGCTTTATTCTACAGGGGAGTTGGGATTACTGGTATCAACTTAAGAGCTCTATAAAATCATCAATTCATCTATTATGAAATGAGAGTACATTGTCATGTTGATCTGCAGGAAATCTGCCCAATAGGGTAGGCTAATAATGCCCAGGAATCATTAGGCTATGTTATAGTGACAAGAAAGGCAGATCAGCTGCAAGAAGCAATCTTGGGATGAAGTCTCTGGTGACCTTGCATCTCAGAGCTCACCTATCACAGGCCATCCAAAATGGTAGGCCATCTCTAGAAACTCATTTACATGCCTTAGTCATTTCTAGATGGCTTCTGACACCTATTTCAACAAGCAAGATAGATAGCTCTTGAGGAGCAACAACCTTGACCTCTATAAATTACAGACATACATAGAAATGAATCTGAATCCACACATTACCTGAATACAACATATATACATACAAGTTCACACAGGTTCAAACAGATACATAGAAAAACAAAACATGTTGAGAAAAACTTGTACCACAGGAGAAATAAAGTCTGATCAACAACTGGAAGTAATAGATGAAGCCAAAAGACCAGGCATTCTATTCTGATCCAAGTCTCTTCCCAGGGAATGATCAAACCAAGGCCTTGGACATTATACATGGGTATACAGTATATTTAGTTGAAGACTACACTAACTGGAGTGGAATCAACACAAAATAATTTTTTCCTTACTGTCAAGTACCATATACAGCTTAAAGCCATGAAAAGATCATGTACTTGTACTAAGCAAACATTCTCTGAATCTCTCCACCCAGACATTTTGAGTGCAGTCATTCCTCCCATACCAGTGATCATAGAACAACAACAACAATAACAACAAAAAGAAAGTTGGTTTCTCACAATAACTCCAACTCTGTAGAAAATACAAACTACTTTCTGAGCTGTACAATGCAATCACTATTCAAAATAAGTTTTCAAGGTTCCATTCTGAAATTTACTTAACATGCCATGTATTGTTTTTTACAGTTTATGTCATATACAAGAAATGTCTTGGAAAAAATGATGCTGAGTTTCTAGAGAAAAAAGACAATGAAATGGACCCCAGGCCATCATTTCATGAGACAAACAAGGGATTTCAACCAGATGAGAAGTAGACACTATAGAAGAAAAAAATCTTTCAGAACGACATTCATTAAACTAAAACTAAAATTATTTCTTTTGATGGAATAATCATCAGAAAAAATTTAAAAGTTAACTTCAAATTGAAATTATGGTTTTTGTATAAAGGGACTAGTGATTCATTCTTTAGTGTGACAAAGACCCAAAGATGATGTGTGTGTGTGTGTCTGTGTCTGTGTGTGTGTCTGTGTGTCTGTGTGTCTGTGTGTCTGTGTGTCTGTGTGTCTGTGTGTGTGTATACATGAGTAATTTTTTTGTATCCATGGTCAGATTGATCAAAAGATACTCCTTGATTCCAAATTCACAGAAGTTTAAGCCTCTTTCATAAAAAGGCAAAGTGTTTGTCTCCTTCAGATCAATATTATCTTACTAAATTATTTAACATGATGTAAATGTTATGTAAATAGTTGTTTCACTGTATTGTTTAGGAAATGATGTTTTTGAAAGCCTATGACATTTTATGTTCAGTACAGATATCATTTTTGGCCATAGTCAAGTTAAAATCATCAATATCAAACTTATCCTTTGGAGGCCAAATGCATGTACATAAAATGTATAGATAGATTATGTATATATGGATAGATAGATAGATAGATAGATAGATGATAGATAGATAGACAGATAGATAGATGATAGATAGATAGATAAACTGATTATCATTAATATATTATCAGAAAACTTCTACAGACCTAACTTGATATAGGTCAAACTGGAAACTTGGTCATATGTAAGCTGAACTCAGAGTCAAGCACTTTTGTATGTTAAAATATAGCATACTATTACTGTAAAATGATTATCTTCTTCAGTGTTTATGATTGTAGAAAGATTGATGTGAATGTATTCCTCTGATATTTTAATCATGAGTTTGAAATTTGCAACATATTTATTTGTGATTTTGCACTATACCCCAGCAAATATCTGTGTTTGTATTTTAGAAAAGTAGCCTCTTCAAATGACATTCCAGAAGTAGAAAAGAGAGGAAGCATTACTAATTTAATTTAATAATGAATTAGAATTGGATTAACTCATTAAGCATATTTTATATCCATTCACATACCTCTAGTGTTGACTGATGCTCATTTTATCTTTCAAGAAATAGAGCTCATTCAATACAGTTTGAACTTTACAACTAATTTTTGGAACCCTGGAGAGGTTTATTCAAATATGACCTGTATGAAGCAGGTCCAAATGGGCCAGTATGATAGATATTCAGCTCAAACGAAGTGCCATACCAGCCACCATGAGCAAGGAGGTGTCAGAATTTACAAAGATTTTATCAGTCTAGAAAATGACATAATACAATTAAGAGACAAGGAAACATAAAGAAAAGCACAAATAAAAAAAATATTGTCAAAAACTTAATATGGCAAATCTGATGTATGAGAGGAAGTAGCTACAGGAAGATTCATGTCAGAAAGTAAAATTTGAAGATGAGAAGTCCCCAGGCAACAAAGTAGAAAAAGCATCCCTCAGATGTCATAAATATAACTATCTATATACCTGTCTATATCAATAAGGATAGAAACCAAAAAAGACTTGCTAAAAATCAGTAAGATTTTAAGGCTGTTGTAGGATGGAATTTGTCAAGTGCTTGGCTTTTCCCTTGAGACCCAACTTGATTTACTTTTCTTCATTTTGGAGCAGATATGTGTTTTTAAATATCCTTTAGTGGTTGATCTTATGGAAACTTTTGATATTCCCATAGTCTAGTGGATTCCTTTAATTTACAATGTTTTGGCTCCAAAGAATATAGTGCATATGAATGATCTGACTTTAGATCACAATGAGAGCTTCTGGTTGTAGACTTAAAATATTTTGACTGGAGATATTATCACAGTTTGTACAGTGTTTGCTCTGACAGCATGAGGATCTGAGTTTGACTACCAACACTCATATAGAAATGCCATGTATGATAACGTGCAGCTGAAATCCCAGTGCTAGAAGAGAGAAACCAGGAGGATTAGATCCAGTCTAGCAAATCAGTAAGCTCTGGGTTCAGTGAGTGCAAAAGCTAAAATGAAGAGCTACAAAGGAAGGCACCTGCCATTAACCACATATACATCACACACACACACAAACACACACACAAACACACACACACACACACACACATTTGGAGCATTTTTCCATCGCTAGACAAAATCAGTAAGTTGAACTCAGAATGTCTTAAGACATTGGGCATTGACTGGACACTGGATTTTCTTCTCAGTAATATCAAGAAAGTACATCCAAGCATGGAAAATGAGGTCTACCTGTTAAATATCTTGTACAATTTCCTCATCAAGAAGAAAACAGACAGATGCACTAAAGACACCCTGTGAATTTCTGTCACGTTTTCAACACACCCAAAGTCAAGAGCCTGGATGCCAGCAACTGAATCAGCTGGGTTTTCTTCCCTAATGATTAAAGAATGTGAATGACAGAACATTGTTTTCTTACCAAATGTGATGGCTTATGAGTTTATTTTTCCCCTAATATTCTAGAAGGAAGAAAAATAGTTAAGCTTTCTAAAATGACAAATTTCTATTTTTAAATGATTTTGAAAAACTGATTAAATCATGCATATTATTGCCTCTGTTTCATATTAAATGAAAATTTTGTTTTAAAGACATGAATAAAAAATGATTTTGTACTATCTGGTCAGTGGAGTCTTTGTGAACACTGTCAAGAGGTCCTCAGTGCACAGTCCTAGGGATATAAATAAGGTGGAGTATCTGAGTTCTTAAATTGTTCTTTAAAAAGTAAATGAATGAAAGTCTTAATTAAATACACTAATAATTGAGTCTCCCACTGATACAAACTAAGGTTTTCCCACAAGAAAATAATGCAGGATAAACATTAATCAAAAGCTCTTAAAAGTAATGTGACAGTGCTTGGTAATTTAAAATAATAATAAAAGTATTTCAAGGACTCTCATTAATAAAGCCATTGCCCTATATGAGAAATATATGCCTTTGTGTGTGTGTGTGTGTGTGTGAGAGAGAGAGAGAGAGAGAGAGAGAGAGAGAGAGAGAGAGAGATAAATAACCAATTTATTGAATTTTATATTACCTTATTATGTAGGAGACATTCATTTTCTTCTACAAAAAAAAATTATCTTCCTTGGAATCTTTAATACTCCACTGAGGCACCCATAGAAAGACAGTGGAATATTGAATATCTTTTACTGAAACTATTTGATTAGAACTTACATTAAAACACAAGTCCTCCAACTATTCCTTAGGTACTTACAGGAACTCACAGGATTTTGCAAGGAGTATGCAAACATGAAAAGATACCCAGTTTTCCTGTTTATGTTTTCCATATTTCTGTTTTATAAATCTGCTCTATCTGATATTCTCATTGCTTGAGTTAATCTCTAGCCTTCTTTCTCAGCTCCTGCCCACAGCCAATTCTCAGTATTCCTAACCTTAGTACAAGGCATTGGCCCAAAGAAGAAAAAACAATATCAAATCCTTTCAACATACTGATAACTGGAGGAAAGATTCATATCTCTTTCTAGTTATTTTGGAGTATATTTTTTAATGTTGAATTTTTTTATTCTGTAAAAGGTAACAAAATATACAGAACAAAACTTTCTTTTTGTAAAATTAATGTTACAAACACGTATTATCACTTATATATAAATATTATTCTCTATAGTAGATCATCAGGTATATAAGCCCAACAATGTATGATAACAGGTAAGCATGAGAATTTTGTATCAGAGAGTCCTGTACCATACACTCTTTTTTTGTTGTTTTTATTACATTTTTATTTGATATTTATTTACATTTCAGATGCTATCCCCTTTCCCCATGCCCCCCCCCGTTAACTCCCTATCCCATCCCTCCTCCACCTATTTTGCTTTTATATGTTTAAATTACATGCAAGTATTAAGGTCAGTTCTAGGTTGAGAAACTAGCAATACAATAGATGTAAATAGTCAAGGAACAAGCAAGGCAATAAACAAAATTCTGTGAACACTCCCATGATCAGTTTCCTTGTTATAGTCTCCGAACATGGCCTGAACTGTGTAGAACCCCAGTATCATGGCTGTCTGGGTGTGGGGGAGGCAATAGATATCATCGCTGGGGATCCCTTCCTTGACTTGCAGGAAGAGGAGCTTCTGCATGATGTCCTGGAAGAGCTGCTCAGCCACATCCTCAGGGTAGAACTTGGCCCGGAATTTGAAATGGACAGGGTTCTCCTTTCTAACCTCCTGTGCAAAGAACTTTTTATCAAGTTTCAAGCAGGTAGGAAATCCTTTATTGTCTACATACTAGAGGCTGAAGTACCACACTTCCTGGAGGCCAATAGTCTTTACCACCTGATCAAAGAGCTGCTTCCAGGTGGTGTTTGGCTGGATGGCAAATTCCAGCTCTGCATCCATGGTGGTCACCGGGACACTGATTGGCTTGGGCATCTTGGCTGGCTGGTGGCTCTACATGGGTCCTCGGCAAGTATCAGGACCTGCAAGCAGAGGGAAGCCCTCTATTTTGAAATATTTTTAATCTAAAAACACTACGTGGTGGGAGTGGAAATATTTTTGTCAACCAGAGCATAGCTGCTGTAATTCTCCAAAAATCTTGGATCATCACTGAGACATTGAAAGAAGACATGTGGATTCTTTTTCCTATAAAATACACAAAACAAATGGCTGAACCTTATTTCTATTAGACTCAGCTTTTAAATTTCAGATATTTTCCATAGTGTTCTACAATGAAACTTTTTTTTTCAGTTGAAGACTGAATTCAATACTTTTTTTCTGTTAGAAAGATCTAGTTTGGCTTATTGTTCTGACAAGATCCCTTAATTTCATAAAATACTAGCAACTGGAGCCAATGAGCAGAAGATAATGACAAACAATGAAAAAAATGTTCACCATAACAGTTAGGTAAGCATGAATTAAATCACAGTGAGGGACCACTGCATGTCCAGAAAAATAGCTAGCAAGATAAGACAGCAGAGATGACAAGAAGCAAACAGCAGTTCTCATAGGCTCCTGGTAGTGCTTTAAAAAACACTTCGCGGTTTCTTTAAAAGGTAAAACAAGCCAGCAATCTCATCCTTATGCACTCCTGAAATAAACCTTATCACAAAAAGCCAATCTTCCAGGCATGTAGCAAAGAGATTGGATGCAAGGAAACATGAAGGAGAAATTTTAAGATCATGTTGATTTTGGAGGGGGTTTTATATTTGTCATAGTTTATGTAGTATTCATATATAATAGAGTTTATGAAAAGAATGTAATCTATTGGAAAATAAATGAAGCCAAAGATCATCGTGTTACAGAATATAAGCCAATTTCAGAAAGAAAAGTATTACATGTTTTCTCAGAATTTAGATTTTAAAAAATAATGAATCATGGTAGCAGAAGCAGGAATATTTGGGGAAAATGAAAAGATATTCATTGAAGTGAGTAGAAGTCAAAGGAGGGAAAGGAGGTTGGAAAATGAGCAAAGCACAATGCATGATAGGAATATATAAATGTCACAATGATACTCATTATTTTGTACAATGAATATAAACTACAAGTTCATAAAAATATACTTTAATATTATAATATATTTCAGTATATTAATATACTCTCATTATAGTTGTGTAGAAGAATATGGGAATCTTACCAATGTCTATATGTGGTGGTTTGAGTGAAAAAATGCATTTGAACTTGGTCCCAGGATGGTGGTGCTGTCTAGAGAGGTTATAGAACTTTTAGGATGTGGAAAGGAGAGAGGACATACATTACTTGCTATGGGCTTTGAGAATTTATAGCTTCATTCATCTTCAAGTTCAGTCTCTCTGCTTTCTTTGTGTGGTTGGAGATGGTATCTCTCAGCTTTTTATTTCAACCTCTCCCACTATTATGGACTCTCACACCATGGAACCATAAGCCAAATAAATTCTTCCATAACTTGTTTTTATTTCATGGCATTTTTTTCACAGCAACCAAAAGTAATTAGTACAATACAACTAAAGAAAATGTTTCTCCCTTCCTCATCAAATATTAATTCTGTATGGATCTTCAGGGAGGAGCTTGGTCTTATGAACTCTTCCTCCTTCTATAATAGGGTGTTGACAGGCCCAATATTGTGAAGGTCTTGGGTAGGTAATCACAGCTACTGTGAGTTCAAGAGTACAACTACGTCATACCAAGAAGTCAGCATTCCATACCACACCCTCACCCTTCCGTCAGCTTTTGGCACCATCTTTCATGATGTTCTCTGGGCATTAGAGGGAATTATATGAATGTCCAATTTATGGATGTGCCTTCAATAATCATTTATTCTTTGAACTTTGACTAGTTAGAAATCTTTGCAGTCACCACCCACCACAACAAAATATGGCTTCCCTATCCAAAGCTGACATTAACACTATTCTGTGGACATAAGCAGTAATTTTTAAGCCAATTTGACAGGCACATAATGCCCATTTGGCAAGACGATAGCAGGAGCTTCCCCACTAATGGCCTACACCCTCCTTATCTAGAGTTTGTAACTGAGTTTATAGCACCAGACCTGAATCCTTCCTATGAAGCAGGCCTCAAATCCAATAGTAATGTGATTGCTTACCCCAATAACTGACTTGTCACTATTTCACTAGTTCATTCATCTCGGTTGGCCTATCAGTAATGCTGCATACAAGGTCCCACAGCTGAGTAGGGGTATTGGTGACAATTCTTCTCAACACCCTGTATAACACCACTTGGTAGTATAAAAGCTAGCATCAAGAAGGACATTTTCAGAATAGTTCAAGCTAGATTTCTCTATCTCATATGATGGAGAGGCATATGGTAACTTCAGTCATAATGTCTTATCACCTAGAACAATTATACTTTTAAAACCGGTGGATCTTGCTTTATATAGGGTTATTATTTGCCATAATAAAACTGGCTGAAAACTTCATTGGCGAAGACACAGCAGCAAAATTCACTCAGTATTTTTTCTAGCACTTTCAAGGAACATTACACTAAATTTGGAGCCTCTAAGTAAAAAATTAGCAGGAACTAAGAGCTATTTTTAAAAACAAAAACTAGTAAATTCTTTGACTGCCAACTTCCCAGAAATTGAAGTGATGTATACTTTTGGTTAGAGAAACAGTTTGAAAACTCCAATTCCCTATTTTCAGCAAAAATAATAATAATAGATACCATCAAATTGTTCATACATTTTTTTAAAAGTTTGAAAAAGCCAGGTATGGCAGAACACATACACAGTCCCAGAACTTGCCATGTTGAGGCAAGAGTACAGAGGATTCCAGAGCATCCTGTAATAATGTTAAGAACCTGTCTCAAAAGCAAAAATAAACAATGAATTGTTCTGATAATGGATCACTATGAGGATCTGTCTTAAGACAGATCTCCATCTAACTTGAGATGTTAAGAGATGAGAGATTTTATACATATATATATATATATATATATATATATATATATATATATATATATA